ATTCAAAATGTGTGTGACCGACCGACTGCATCGATCCACCAACAGCTTGGCCCTGAAAACCAACGTTGCCGTTGATGGCACAACCAACGCATTGGGGTCCTTAGCTTCATCAGGTCTGCCTTTGACCTTCCAATCCGGTTCCAGTTCACAAGGTCAAGGCAGTTTGCTGAACATGTCTCCAACAATTCAACCCCATTTCCACAAAACACCGCTAATGGTTTTTGGTCCGGTTTTGCGGCCATTCGGCCGGTCTCCGGAGCGGTGCAGGAAGTCCACGCAGTCGTGGCTCAGTCCGCTCAAGTCCACCACCTCCAAGTTCTCATCCGAGAGCTCGCAGACCTACCCGTCGGCGAGTGTGGCCAGGGCCAAGCCATTTACCCACTTCTTGTTTCCTTTGCCAAAAGCCAAGAGGGAGAAGGCGATCAAATAAACAAGTTGCGGCGTTGAACAACACATGATTTCCATGTTCCTCCCTACAATGTTGGCTTGCCAAACAAAATAATGTCCTCTCCATGGTTTAATGTGTTGTTCAGTTGTTCAAGCCTGATCTCAGCAAACAAGTTCAGAAACATGGCAGGGAGTCTAAGCAAATCGAAGAAGGAATACCAAATGGCAGTACTAAACCAACTGAGCAGTACCAAATCAATTGGTCAGTCAGGCTTCAGCAGGCCACTTAAGCGACAAAGGCCACTTAGGCTACAAAAGTGCCGCTTGGAAACAAGTGGTTCATGGCTACCTTGAAGAGTGTCTACACTTGAGCCAATCTATGTCTGTAAACTGAGCACAGTTGATGACGAGCGGCGACAATCGAACGACACTCAACCGAGCTAGTCGACCTACAGTGAATGGCCTCTTCGTGACCTAAGTGACATCGATTCGCCTCTGTGTGACACGCAAGTGACACACACTTGGCACTCATATTTGAATACTCATGCGCAAACCGCCGCCTGCACTGCTTTTGTTTACAAGCTCGCTTGAGAATAAACGTTGCACGCTCCAGGGCAAAAGAGGCCAATTTGAGAAGACAAACAAATAAGCCACTTGCGGCTCCGACACTCAGTTCAGTGGCCTCGTGATTTTTGTTGTGTCAAAGTGGCCGCCCACAATTAAGTGAGAAAGGACTATGAAGACTATATTTTTTGTGGTGGGGAATAGGTGGAACATGGTGGAAGACCGCAAACGGCCCAATGGGGCAGCCCAAGGGGCCCTATTCGGGTCGTAGCCTGAAATGCTATAGGCTGCATGAATGGGACCCACAATCTGCGACTTTTTGACGTGGGCTCCGTGGAAAACCGGTTGAAACAGGTTCACTGGCAGGCTGTTTTCTTTGTGGGCGGACGCACATGTCGCCTGGTGGAGCGCATAGCAGTGCAAGAGGCTCATCAACCTGAGGAGATACTCGCCTCAGATTTGAGTGGCACATGAAGCCTTGAAAGCCGAGTGGCAGAAACCCTACGAAGTGCAACGCATTGCAACGCAAACACCTTGTTCCCAAAACGAGTTGCTCAGCTGCAAACAGTGGTTTTTCACATGCAAAACAAGGGTCTTGTTGGATTGCTTAATTTCGGGCTAGAGCCAATTGAAAACAAAGGCAGGAGGCGTGACGCTAAACTGGAGAAAGGCCGGTTGAATCAACCCAGGCCTGAATTTCATGGCTGTTTTGGCCCGAAATTCGGCTGGCGTCAAGCCGTGCCAAAGTCCATACAGCCAGGCTTTTTGAAGAAAGGACCAGGGACTGCGCCTACAAGTCGTGGCCGGGTGCAAGCTGCTCAGCATCTTAGCCAATTTTGCGTTCTGTCAAGCACGCGCCCGACGAGCAATCGAGCAAACATGAAGCCAGTATCCACTCATCTCTAGCATAGACCATCCGCCCATCATTGAATATTCGGAGCCTGGCTGCACCCAACACCTGCAACCACACAGCAAATTCTACAGGCCCCAAGGATGGTTCGCAAACAGCTTCGTAGCTTCTCTGCCAAGATGCGGAAGTAAGTAACATCATCTTCGCGCTCAGGATTGGTTGTGCAAAAGCTCAAAAGGCTGCTGAAGGCGCTGGTCCACTCGCCCCGGATCTTATGAGTGAGCGTGACCTGGGTTCAACCCCACCCCCCGGCGACCTTGACGGGACATCTGGGCTTGTCTCAAAGTAGGTGCCCTGCAAGGAGGCAGATTCGCTATGGCGTCCCTTCAAAGCAAGCCACCCCGAACAAGAGAAGCCACTCCAAAAAATAACTTTTGCCAACTGCGGAAGGAATTTCCACACCTGCCAAGCGGCACTTTCCCAAAAGCGGGAATAGGCCTGGTTACTGCGGAACACAATGAGGAAGCCAAGGATAAAGGTGTAGCCGGACCAAATGGTGTCAATACCGCTGGTATCTCCGATGAAATCGGTCATGTCGTCCCGCCAGTTGATATGGATCAGGATTGTCCTTGACAGGTCTTGCTGACTTACTGATGGCACCAGCTTGCGTTGATGGATCCCCTATGAAGTGAGGGACAGCAATGCTGAAACTCTGGAGGGGATTTAGTGCGTCACCATGCGTCACCCTTCACTCCGCACCCCGATAATAGAAGGGGGCGTTAACAAACAACAACCAACACACACCCGCGCGCCCACAAACATAGGCAACCCACCTACAGCCGCGTTTGAACATTCACTGCAGCCTTGGAGCACTGATGTTGCGAACATGCAACCAGGACACCCAGCCTCCTAGTATCCATTTGCCTGCGGCACGACCTACTAAAATATAGTTCAGTGCGAGTTCTGGTCGCTTCACACGCAGTTGATGAAAGCTCCAGCAACGCAAAGAGACTCCGCAGGTTGATCCACAGACCCTGGGTAGAACGAAACTGTTCTGTGAAAGGAAGCCAAGCGACATCAGGCCAATGTTCTTCCCTCCCTGGGCAAAACTCGGTTCCATCCTGATCGAAATCGCCTCTTGTCCCCAAGGTCGATAGGGCTGGCTAAATGCCTGAAATGCCTTCGCAGCTGTCAGTGGCCAACTCAATGCTTGGCAGTTTATCTGCCCGTCAAAACCTGGACCCTCAAGGACCCACCAACCCGAAGTCCAAGCTTGATTACCTGATCAAGAAGGACCTTGAGGCCGAAAGTCGTTTACACAGTGGTTCAAAAGGTTGACCGGAGGCGACCAGTGGTGGCTCGAAAGCAAGCAAATGGCCCCCTCATGCCCCCTCTCTATATTACAATGCCACGTGCGGGAACCATTCACTTCATACAAGCATCCACAGTTGGCTTGAATTGTGTTTTGCGCTGAGGTCCTCAACGCTCTACCCTCACAACTGTGGCAAACTTCGGGCAGGTTGGACCGCAAAGGGCCTTTGATCGAATCAATCAGGTAAAGCTCGCCTGAAAATTTGGAAAGGTGAGGTTCACGAGTTGAAGCCACCGAAAACAAGAAAGACAATTCATCAGTGGACCCTCGGTCCCAGAACGAGCGGCAGCAGCGAGCAGGGCACCGACCAAACAAAGGCCTTGGGCACCACCGAGCCCTGGATCTTGCACAGCACCTGCATTCCCCATCGTCCTCAGCCGTATTTCTCTTGGGAATGAAAAAGAACACCACACAATTGGGGGGGGGGTCCCGATTTTGACACATGCCCAAATCCGATGACCTACTCTGCAAGTTAGAAGAATCTTGGGACCTCGAGAAGGCTCCCCTGTTGCCTTTGACATATTCCAAACACCTCCAACGGAGGGCCCCACGATGCTGAGAGTGTCTGGTTTGCGATGTTTTGCTTTGCCTTTTGCTGCATTTGCGCTTGCAGGTAAGCCCCTTTTTTCACAACAAGCAGCATTGAAGTTTGTGCGTGATGGCAGAAAGGGGCCAAAGCCGTAAGCGGACAGCCACATGAACGTGAACCCGTCTTAAAACCAAAACCATTCAAAAGCCTAGGCACCATTGCAGCAAGCAAAAGCTGAGTGGACTGAAGCCATTTTGGCCAGCTTCAACGATTAAACACACGGACCCCTAATGTTTGACGCGGCTTTTCTAGCCAACACATCACCAACTCACTGACAAGGGGTAAAACTCACCCTCCACAGTCGCACCTGCACAAGGGGTGTTTTGGGCCAGATTGCGCTTAGCTGTGACTGCTAGCAGGCAGAACGAAACTTTCAAACAGGGCCTCAACGCCACACCCCCAGTGGCCACGGAAACGAAAGGTACCCTTTAGTGGGCAGTTCTTCTTTTTGGATACCGCATCCGAGGGACGCAACAAATGAAATCAGGCAGGGACGACAACAAACATACGATAACATGAATGTCCACTGCCAAAGTTTTCCCAACTTGATCCAGCCCAGGCGCCATGATTGTACAATATCATCTCATGCGCGTCTCCTTCCTTGGGCCGAAAGCCTTCGGTTCACGCGGCATCAAGGCCCCTGAAAAAAGCGCCAATGCCAAAGCTCTGGGTCTTGATGCGAACCGGGTCTTGGCGCTGGCTGCGGCAAAGCAACATATGCAGCCTTGAAACATCTAACTGAAGGAAGTCATTTCAAACAGAAAGGCGATAATGCAAAAAAATGGAAATAATACAGCAGTGTCCACAGCGAGGGCAAGGGTGCATCGCAGCCAACTGCTTTTGGCCCTCTTCAGATTCTCCCAAAAAAAGGCGGAAATGGAAGCAAACTCAAAGGGGCTAGATTCAGATTGCGCAAACAGCAAGATCCAATTGACACCGAATTCTGATGTTGCGGCAGCTTTCTGATCTCCTGATTCGCACTGACGTAGAAAGAAAGAACCACAAATCCTGCTGCGGCATTTTACAAAGGAAACCAAAGGGACGGGAAACAACCGATAGGTGCATCTATTGCGTCAGTCGCACGCACCCTCGGATATGAAAAGAACAGCCCAAGAACTGTCGCCAAGAACGTATCCCAAATGAGTGGTTTTGCTTTAGTCTCACTCAAACCCCTCCAAGGTAAGCTTCATCCAACAACGCAAGTCTTGGGTCAGAAAACACGATAGTCCCCCTGAAGCCTGGGCCAGCAGCGCCACCAGCCGGGCATGCTCCTGATTCCTGGCCCGGCGCTTCTTTGAATTGCCAAACAAGCTCCCCGTTCGGTTTCCCTTCAAATGTACAAGAGCTGTTCAAAACTGTCAATCCCTGAAATTTGACATCTTGCAATGCTTGTCAATGCTTTCTTCGCACCACTTTGGCAAAAACCTAAAGGAAACAAACACGTTCCTGAATCTTCCGATGAGCGTTATTTTCCGCTCGTGCAGATTACCGCGCGTTTATCTGAAAGCGCTCGGTTCAAGAAAAAACGCTCGGATGCGGATATCGAAAAAGAAGACACCGGCCATCGTGTAGGCTCAGTCTTTCTGCTACTCACGTGCAAGATTTGCAGGGGGCGCCGAACGTGACAAGACTAGCACTTTTTGATGTGAGCTCGTGTGGCCGGAAATCATCCAGGAAAGCTGCTCTGTTCAAAACATTGACCACATTGCACAAAGTGTGCTCCAAAGGAGCCTCAATTCCTTTGCCGAGGAGCCTTCCAGTTGGCTGATTGAAGGCTCGAAGGCTAAATAGCGCTCGCTTGCCCAAAAAACGCTCGCAGAAGCAAAAAGCACGTCAAATAGTAGCTTTTGCCCCATCCAGCATGGCACAGCCAACACACACACACACACACGTGCCAAAACACTGCGGGCAGGTTTGGCAACCTGAATCAAAATGAGGAATCCATAAGGTGCCTTCATTACCCGTTGAGCTCGCTGGAAGTGACGCTTCATCTTGCAGCACAGGCCTGGCCATCCTCTCTTTGAACACTTCCAGCACCGGCAACAAGCGCCTCGGCTGGTATTAAGGGGCCATGTTTGACATGAGCAATGCCTAAAATCCATTCATTCCAAGGATGTTCTCCAGATTTGTATCTTTAACGAAATGGGCCTCATCAAAAAATCTGATCAAATAGGGGGGGGAGTTGCCTGGGCGCTCATGGCTTCGTCCCACCAACTCAAGCCTCACGCCTTGCAGTTCCCAGGCTCCAGCCATGAGGATTCAAACTAATGTAGCATTGTGCGAAATCATCACCTGAAATGTCATGCAAATAGGGCTAGTAGTGCGGGTTCCCCACTAACCACTGGGGGGAGACTACACGAAATAGCTCCAACAATTATCCAGTCCGCCAGCACGAAAAGGGCAGTCTAGAGAAGTGATTCTAGAGAAGAGCCTGGCCAACAATGTTCCAGGGGAGCACAGCTGAGGCCTTGATACTCAATAAGAATTGACAAAGGGCGGTGTGAAATACTCGGGGCCCCGGCTCAGAGCAAAGGCTCTCGCGCTGGCCCATGCTGTCATACCTGGAAGCTCGCGTGGCAACTTCGGGCAAACACATTGGCACCCCAACACGTATACCCTTTACAAAACGAAAGGACCGCCATATGTACATATCTGCATGCATATATAATCTATATTTACATGTAGGAAACAAACAATAGCAGTGTATAAACCTATACATATACAAATATATATATATATATACATATATATATATATATATATATGTATACAATTATACCTGTGAATATCCAATTTCATGTATGTGTGACAGTGCGTGAGCATGTGGCAGGCCATGACGGACGTGAGATGGCAGCGAGTTCGGAGCTTAAACATCTTCTAAGCGGGAGAGCCAGCACCTGACCAGCAGTGCCACAGTCAGCAGGCAAACATCAAAATCCAACATGTGCAAGCTTGTTCCCGCATGTGAACGACAGCGAGGCCCACTAAACATTGCATTGCGAACACACAAAGCAAGTGGCTACCAATGGATTCAGCATATCATGCATACTGGCACCGGTTTCCAAATATCTTCACCCAACTCCAAATTCGATATTTCTGGAAACCAATTCCTCAGATGCTGGAATCGTGAGATACTGCTCCTGGGACAAACATCCTCGTCCTCATTTTGCATTGTCCTAGTCTACATGTCATCCTCATTTTGTGCGGGATGTCAAGGCCCAAACTCTGCATAAAAGCGCCAGCTGGGCTAAAACACCCGCGGACCTTGTGACCTTGTCCGTTGGTATTGGCTCTTTGTCTTCTGCATCGGTCTGCCGCGCTTCGGCAGGTCTGGCTCGAAAGTCGTAAGCGTTCGTTACGATTTGGCAGCTCCGGCTCGAAAGGCGCAGCTCTTCAGTAAAACTGAGGCACGCGCAGCGCACTTGGGCAGCGCAGGCTCGAAAGTGGCAACTTGTTAGTACAAGTGTAGTATAATTACGAAGTCAGCTCCGGCTCCAAAGTTACAACATTTAAGTACAAATGCAGTACCCAAAGTTTATTTTGGATCATTTCGGTAGCTGCAGGGCAACTGGCTGGTTTCGGCATGACGGCGAATAAGTTGGCTGTCGGTTGCTTCATGGATTCGTATCTTGTTTTGTTTTTCTCAGCATCTTTTTTCTTTACAGTGTTCCGGGCCTGAAAAGAAAGGTAAGGGCCGGGACCTTACAGAACAAAACGGCGCGGGGCTTCTTTTCGACCAAGTCGAAGGGATTGCAAGGACCACAATCCGTCAAACATGCACTTGACCTCACATAGCACAATCTCGTGTCGAGTTCATTCCAAGATGTCAGATCACATCAAGCACGGCAATATGCAGAAACTCGGCATTGCACAACTCTGGCTCTTTGGTAGGATTGCTTTCGAGCAAACATCATGTGAAGTGGAATAAAAATAAAATTGCACGGTGCATTAGGCAGGTTAGACGCGCAGGTTTCATTCATGCCGCACTTGCAGTAGCAGTTAATTACCAATTTGGTCAAGTAAGCTGACTTGTAATCCTTGAAAGCAAGCCCAAAAGGGGCACACTCAAACAACCCCCCCTGCCTAGCAAGGCCACCTGAAAAGTCTGCGCAAGAGCTGCCAATTGCCCTGCTTTTTGATGACCGCTCTCAAGCCGTGCGAGGGAAAGAAAATGAGCATCTGGGGCACTTCAATCGAACCATTCAGTCAAAGCCACGGGCGTTTGAATAAGCAAGCTGAGGGGCTAAGGGCGTTGCTTGGCAAGGAAGTGATTGCACAACACAAACGCATGGCACTTTGTCCTCAAAGAAACCTACTTGTGCTTTTCAAGGCCTCCAAGACAACACATCGGGTAGGGCACGTCTCCTCTCACCCATATCATCACGAATTGGTGTCTGACCACGCGATGACCTATCTTGTTGTTGAATTGGGAAACTCGAAGGTAGACAAGTATCTATCTGATCTCTTCTAGGAATTTACAATCATGGGCTATTTGGCATCCAGCTGCGCAACAAAGCCAGACTCAGACTGATGGGCGCTGCTCCACCCAGTTCATAGCCTGTTGTTCCTTTCTTTCCAGGCCTTCCCCCCAAAAGGGTAGTATGAACCTTTACGTCCCTAGGGATTGCCCTGCAAAACCTTTTGCGAAATTCCAGTGGCATCCAACACAGCAGCTGGCTCAGCCCTGGACTCGGTTCGAATCAGTGCCCGTGCTGGAAACACCGCGGCCCAAGCGGCCTTGCAGTTTCTGGGAAATAGTTGCAAGCCGACCCGGCCGAAAGCACGTCTGTGTTGACAGGTCTTGCCTTCATGGTCGATCCCCCTGCTAGACCGAGATAAAGAGAGACCTTCTCAAAGATAACTCTTACCTTTGGTGGTCCTTCTCTTCGCAAAAGGGGTCGACTCAAAAGGCAAAGCCTGTCTGTGACCTGCTGGCTTTAGCGACTCAAACGCAGGCTGTCATGCAGGATTGCCAGGTACAACACGTCACTGCCTGAAACTGGTCTGCTCTTGACGCCACTTTGGCGCAAATGGCTGGCAGAATAGCGCGAAGCAAAGAAACCGATGAAAGACCATGAACCGATAGCAACTGCAAACATCATTGGAAGATTGACTAAGCGGGGACCAGGAAACTCTTGCCGCACTGAACGGATGTCCGGGCTTGCCATGCCGCACACCAGCGCCTGTACCTGGCTTCTGTGCTCGTCCTAGCAGCTCCTAACATAACGGAAGCAGCCTTGTGGATATCCCTTGCCTCTGTTCGTTTTTTGGGATTGGACATCGTAAGCCCAAAACAACAGTCACTATGAAGGCAAGTAAGCATTTTGCAATTGCAACATGGAAAGCTAACAGGCTGCTTCGCAAGGAATAATCCCACATTTCTAAGGCTGTTGAGAAGGAGGCTATCTCCCTGCATGCTAGAGTTTCATCCAGCTACGAGGCTGGGCGACAAGTGAAAATCAACATCTCAAAATTTGATTCCGAGCTCAAGTGAAGATGCTCACCAATACCTGCGAAAAAGGCAGCATGAGGCAGGGTTGAAATGCAGGCTTTGTGGTCACACATGTCTGCTGCACGCCTCCAAAGTGTGGGCCTACCGAAGACAAGGTCGCATGGGTCAAGCCATAGCATGAGTCTGCACAACTAAACATTCACCTGAGCCATGCATTTGCAATTTTGCGTGCGAGCCCGCGTTGGGTCAGACATACTCCCTTCAAACGCTGTACCGAGGGGCCTGTGCGCGATGCTCACGCCTGTAAACAGCCTCTTTGGGGTGAGCATTTCAGAGCCTATGAGTCGGAAAGCGTCCACGGTACATTTGCGGTTGCTAGTGGTACAGCAACAAAGCGAACTTTGCTGGTCATTCATTCGTCATAGATCATTGGCACTAGCGCAACTGAACGATTGAGACAAGCTTGGGGAAGGTGAGGAGCAGCAACCTTGGCTGAAATGGAAGGTCCCAATGTGCCAAAATTCGCAATTCATATTTGCTGTCATGGTTCAGAGCTGCATTGCAGTTTGTCAAATACAAGAACGCAGTACTTGCGCCTCAAGACGAGGTCGTGCGCAACTTGATTCAAAGAACCCACTTCGGAACCTCTTTGTTTGATACCCTTTGTTGGATGCCTCCTTGTGCCTGGACATGCTGCTACAGAAAGCTAACTAGGCACTGCTAGAACCTTCAAATCATGAGTCCGGGCCGCCAAGAGTTTATTAAGAACCCTCCCCGCTGCCTGCCGCACTTTTACTCCTGTGCTTCCCTCATTGGCATCTGAATGCAAACAACGCGTTTCAAGATGCAAGTTGGTGATGGAAAATCTTGGAGAAGAGAGACAGTGACCTACTTCTAGAAACCCTTGGAAATCTAGAACACAAACAAACAAATTTCTAAACACATCTAACCAAGAAACTGAAAAAAACAACTACAAACATCTTGAAACAAATGAGAGGCCAGAAGTCACAAACGAAAGCTGGCTTGAGCCCTTGGATGATCCACAGGAAGCTTCAAGAAACTTCAAGCTTCAAGCAACCCCCGTAGAAACTTCAAGGAACCTTCTAACGTCTAGCCAAAACCTCCTGGAAGCTGAACAAGGCCACACCCCTTCTCAAGAGACCCACCTTGGATCGATGCGCGTTTCCGCAGGCCGTAACCCTGGGCCCGCCCCATCCTGTTCTTTCTGAAATCGAGCCACGAAGGCTGCAAAGTTCGCCAGCAATGCCCCCATCTGCCCAGACAAGCCCATGTTCTCCGTGATTTCCTGAACCTCAGAAAGGTATTGCCACTTGTCCGCCAGGCGCAAATAATGCAGGCACGCAATTGGGTTGCCCCAGAAGGGTTGGTTGCAGGTGCCATGCTGATCTGACAGGGGAGTGACTACAGGTAGGGGGGTTGCGGTAGTACGGTATCTTCGCTTCTCTGCCAGGAGTCCCTCTGTAATTCCCCTTTGGAGGAATCACAGTTATATCGTGTGTTTTGGCCGCTTGCAGAGTTTTCAGGGTTTCTTGACTTGAAGACTTTATTATTGTAAAGAGGGGAACAAACGATCACCCCTGTCTGCAGGCAGGGTGCCAACTCTTTCTGCCCCATGCCCCGCGCATAGAGGTAGAAGGTGGTGACCTAGGTGGCACCCACATGTGCCTGCCCAAGGTTTAATGGGTCAACCGCCCACTGCACCACTTGGCATGGGGTTGTGCGCAGCTGAGACATGGCCATTGGCATGTCAACTTTGGATTCTTCCCGAGGGCGGACTACATACTACAACAGGGGTGGTCCACCTTGTAGTGGGGGTTTTGCTTCATGAGCGGAAAGCGTCCAACAGCTCCGAGCCGAGGCCGGCGCCAGCAAGCCACGGGAGAAGTAAAAGAAGCCGCAGGTCACCGGCAAAACGACGAGCGCAAAGCCATACTGAAGCCTCGGAGCCGGTTGCTGCGTACGTTGCCCTGAGAAATGCCCCCTGAGGCTTTAGACATGGGCAGCGTAGACAAGAGAGTGCCAAGAAAAGCCACAATCTAAACATCCACACATTCAAAGACCTCAGCTTGTTTGAATCCTTGCATTTGT